TAAACATGTATATCAAGAAAAAAAAAAAGAATTAAAGAATTTGCAATAGAATTTGAATTTGAAATTTACGCGCTTGATTTATTTTCTTAAAAAAATAAATATTGCAATCACAACGCAATAAAAAAATAAAACAAGATAAAAAAATTTATTTATAAAATTAAAATAAAAAATATTTTTCTTATTTAATTTATTAGATTATATTTCTATATAATAAAAATTAAGTTTAATTTTGTTAAAAAAAATTGTATTTTTTTAATGAAAATCTGAAACATATTATTTTGGCAAGTTTGGTAATTTTAGTATTCAATACTATTTGTTAAAAACAAATAATTACCAAAATTCCACAAGCAAATCGAAACACCACAGGTTATAAAAAATATATGTTGATAAATTGGATATTTTCCATATAAAGTATATCTATGAATGAAGGCGATTGGAAATCCTGAAATTTTAATCATAATTATACCATAATTAAACAAATATATCAAGCTTTATCGAAATATTTTTAAATGTTTCATTTCATGCAAATTCATTTATAAATATTAATATTTATTTAAGAATTTTAAAGATTTTATTTAAGAATTTATTTAAGAAATTTTAAATCATTAATATTTTTTTAATAATTTTAAAATTCACTCTTAAATGAATACATAAAAATTCTTGCAATAAATTGAATATCTGAATATTATAAATATTAATATGATTTTAAAATTTTTATTAAAATAATAATGCTAAAATATGGATAATATATAAATAATATTAAAAATAAGAAACTTGATTAAAAAAAGAGCGAAAATGTATCATATTAATATATTAAAAATATGTAGATATAAAAAATTGTATTAAATAGAAATAGTTTTTTAATAATACAAAAATTAAGAAATATATTTGAAGATAAAACTTTTGAGAATTGTTTTCGAAATTTTTTTGCAAAGATCATCTTATAAGGATATTTTTGTTAAAACTAACCAAGAATAACTTTCATTCGAAGCACATTTGCGAAAATTAACTTTTAAAAGCAATTTTCAAGAATCTTATTCTCAAATATATTAACATGCGTAAAGGATATTAATAGATTAGATTAGGATAATAGAAAAAGAGAAAAAAAGTGTTATCTAAAAGATAAAATAAACGTAATTTCTAAATTACGCGGGAACTAAAATCTTATACACGCACGTGCAATAATAAAATATATATGTATCTATCATCCAAAAGTTTGAAAAATATAAAGAATTTGAAAATAATATATTCAAAAGTCATATATTAAGATTATTATAGCCAAAGCTTGATAAAAAAAGAAAAATATATTAACATAAAAACATTAATTAAATCTTAAATAATTAAGTTAAAGTCAAATTTTTATTCGAAATAATCATTTTTTATTATTAATTATCTTTGAATAAATTTTTGCTATTTTATCTATAATAAATTTTCTTTTAACTAAGTAAATCAATACCAATAAGTATTTATTATAAATAATTATATTTATAAAAGATTTCTTACTTCATATAAATAATTATTAAATAAAATAATATAATTATAATATATATTAAATAAATAAAATATGATTGCTTTCAAATTTTTGAATGATAATATATTCTCAAATCATTCTAAAAATGATATGAAAATAACTAACTTTAAACTTAAAAATTGAAATAAACTAAGTACAATTATTAAATAATAATACATAATTAATTGAAAACTTATATTATTATTATTAATTATTACTTATATTATTATTATTAATTATATAATTAATGATGTAAATATAAGATTAAAGACTAAAGTATTTTATATAGTGTTTAATTATATAAGTATATATAATTAAAAAAAATAAAAATGAGAAAAATAATAGAAGATTCGTAAGAAAGAAAAAGAACAAAATATATTTGAAAATATTAGCATCTATTTACCAACTAAAATGGACAAAAAAAGACGAGTTGCAGCTTCAGGTACATTTAAATATTCAGACAATAATGATACAATGTTAAACATTGTTAATATTTTATGCTTCAACTTCTTTACATCAGTTCTATAATATTATAAAATTTTTTGTATAAAGAATAAGTAGATAAAAATTTATTAATTATGCAATAATATAACTTGTAAGTTTTAAGGTTAGAGATCGATATTAAATCACAATGACACAGAGAATTTTGTTGTGTGTTCTAAAAATCATTAAATTAAGATGATAAAAAATAATTTTTTATAATTTTTTAAAAGTTATAAAAACGGAAATTATATTAAAACAAATATTTTAAATATCTCTTTTTTAAAATTAAATTTTAAAATTTAATTTATTATAAAATAATTAAGAAACTTCAAAGCGAAATTTTCATAAATTTAAGAACACTTGAAAATGAAATGTAAGTAAATATTTACTTGCTATTGTTATTATTATTTATTAATTTATTGCTCTTTTACTATTAATTTTATTTTCTTATTTCTTATATAATTAACTATAATTTATTTAAAAAATTAAATATAATATAAAAACATCTTTTTACTTTGTTTTTCTTTTTATTATAATTATTTCATTTTTAACAATATTTTAAACAATTATATTAAAATATTTGTTAAAATCTATTTTTTCAATATTATACATTAAAATTTTATAATTGTTAATAACTTTCAAACTTAAAAAAAAAAACTTTTCTAAAGTTTAGTAAATAAGAAAAAGATACATTAATTATAATTAAAATTAAATATAAATTTTATATATTTAATTCTGTATAATTAAATTTATAATAAAATAATTATAAATTAACAAAAATAAAAAAATTTTAAAATATGTATTTATGTCAATTAATAAAAAAGTTTTAAAGGGGAGATAGAAATAATATTTTCTTAATATTTGTTGATAATAAATAATTCTTTAATAATTTAATTCATGTCACACTATACATTGTTATAATCGCAATATAAAACATTGTAGGATTCGCTGAGTGGCAGTTTCCAACAACAAACATATTCCGTCGAATCGACTTTTAAAATCAGAAAAATCGAAATTAACTAACCTTCGTAAATCTTCGTAATCTTGTTAATGTAATAACACACGTTATTACTCAATCGTTAATAAGAATTAAACATTCTACAATATAAAGATATTTTTTTATATATAAAAAAATTGTAAATTAATTTTAAATTGTAAATTGAAAATTCATTGAAATATTAAAATAATCATAATCGAAAATTAATCTGAAAAATATTTTTTTTATTTTAATTTTTTTTTTTCAAAAATAATCTACGAAGGGTAGATATATCGACAGTTTAAAATGATATCTCTAATATAGAGACAATGAACAAAAACTCATATTAATTTATACCGGGCATCCCATCAAAAAGTCATACAGCCAAATGCAGCGTTATGATTGTAGAAAAAGTTTCAAATAACGCAATTTCTTCAAATAGATTTTTCTGAAGATGCATAGTTTTGGGAACAACCCTGTATAATATTTTCTATTAGAAAAATTGTATTAACTTTGAAAAGATCGTCGATTCTTGCTTAGAAAAATATATCAATTATGATTTTGCATAACAATCGACATTAAATCGTATTCTCTATTATTCGTACATGTATAAAGATTCGTTACATGCGCATGTGCGCGCACGTACCAAATTACATTTAAAGAAACTCACTAATAAACAAAAAATAATTTAGCGTTTGATTTTTTTATAAATTTTAACTCTTCGTTTTAAATATTATTATTTTACAAATCAATATTTAGTAACGTAAAATTAAAATTTATATTACTTTTATTTTTAATTACAAGACAAGACAAAATTTCTTTGAATTTTAAAAATATTATAATTTAATTTGATATTGATAAAGACATTTTAAATGATTCAAATGTATTATTATATGATAATTACTTTGCAAATCAGTTACACATAATATTTAAAGACTGATTTACAATTTTATTATCTTTATTTTTAAAAAACGAAGAGTCAAATTAACGCTTAAAAATCTAATACTGCCTTACAATTTCTTCATTGAAACCGATTTAATATCATTTTTAAATTTGAAGTAATGATTCCTAGCTTTTCAAATTTAAATAATTTGTCAGTGTTGCAGAAGGCTGTCATTGTTCAACATATATCAAAACCGACCGAGTTCTTAAAGTAAAATTTAAATACAATTTCTAATTAATTCATTATGTATGAAAAATTTTTTCATACTATATCATATATATATATATATATATATATATATATATAATATATAATATATGATATAGTATGAATATATATCATGTATATATATCATATTATATACATAAAATTTATAAACTATAATTTTCATATTATAATATTATAATAATTAATCCAATTTAATTTTGTTTAATAGTGTCTTTCTCAATGCTAAAAAAATTATTTATCAAAACTTATAATCAAATGGAATTTCAAATCCAACAAAATCTTACAAACAAATAATTTTATTGATTACGAATGAAGAAAAAAAATCGTTGAAGATTTTGATTGGTTCGAGCAGGATATGTAAATGGTATCCTGTCTTTCGAAAAAATTTTAAATGGAAAGAAACTCGGTCGAATAATCAATCTTACAATATTATGCTTTACTGACTATGAACAAAATTATAAAATTTTGCTTAATTTCCATTATTTTAACATTATTTTAACAATTTCACGTATTATTTTAATATCATAAGCTACTTTTAATTTTTTAATTTACGAAAGTGTAAGTTTTAGTATCTTACTAGTTTTTATATAATTTTAATTTTTATATATCATTTTTACTACAAATTCTGATTCACATTGTTTTAAAATGTATAAAAATAATTATACTTTCGAGTTTTTTCTGATATCTAGAATTAATTGAACAAAACTTTTAATAATTTATATTTATATAAAATTATAGTAAATATTTAAATTAAACTATTTTGTTAAATATCTTTATTTATTGTTAATAAATAAAATAGAAATTTTATTGGAATACTCAAATTCATAATATTATTTTAAATTAATTTATTGTTTAATACGTAAAAATTTTTAAATTTTATAAATTATTAATCCAGAAATCAGAAAAATCTCATGCATTATTTTTCAAAGACTATATGGATATTCTGCTAAATAATTTCTAATTAACGGTGGCAAATGTTTTGTAGGTAACTTATTCCTATTAACAACTAACCTGGCCAAATGACTAAGAGACCTTACTTCTTTAACTAAAGGCTTTGTCAAATAAATTTCACTATAAAGTTGTCCACTATAATCTACCCAAACTTCTTTTCTTTGTTCATCAACACTTTTTGAATATTCCACATAATATTCTAGCATTTTAATTGGACAATCAAAAAGAGGAATTGCAAAAGCAAGTCTAGGTTCAGCATCTAATCGAAACTGTCCCACAAAATAATGAACTCTAACAGAGGTAGGTCCTCTAGCAGTTTGCACAGACACAGCAAACATATATCTACTATCTGAACTATCTCTCATCAGCCATCTGCCAATCATAGCATTTTTTAACAAATTTTCACTCTGCTGCCAACTAAGACCTTCATGGTACCAACCACAGGTTTGTAAGAGTCTTTTAACTTCACTTAATCTAGCTGCATCCCTATCTATCATATAGTTGTCAAAACTCCAAGGACATGGCATTAACCAAGAAACTGGTGTGGTTGGAGTTCTATCTCTTCTTTCATCAAAATTTTCTTCGTTATTTTGAGTTTCATTTTTCTGTACTAAACCTCCACCATTAAAATTGTTTCTACTTCTTGAAGTTATACTTGACAAAGAATCAGGAGAATTCGTAGTAGTTGCAGTTATATTTACTGTACATTGTCCTAAATTTGCTGGAAGTTGCACAGTCGCATTTACTTGAATCTGTACTCCTGGATTAGAATCTAAAACCATAGAATTACGATTTTCCGAAACTTGAAGATTATTTGATTTAACATGATAAAGCTTTTGAACATTATTACAACAACAGTTGAAATTTCGGCTCTGTTCTAATTCATGTTCATTTGTTTTAGAATTTTTAGCTTGTTGAAATTGCATTACTGGCACATTCATTTGAAAATCTGAGAAAATTGACTTTTCCTCATAATTTTCTAGCGAAGTTGCTTCTTCTATTTTTTGTGATAATATATTTCTTCGAGTCCCTGGTAATTCTTGACAGCCACTTGGAGGTATTAAAAACATCCTTTTATCATGACTCACACTTTCTTGTTGAATTTTTTTTTCATGAGATATAACAGAAACTTCTTGATTTTCAGTTGATAATGTCTTTTGCACAAAACATCCTCCACCAGATAATTTTGGACGGATTTCCATATGTGGTGTATGCATAAGAGTTTCAGAATCCATACTTTGAATTAAACAGCCTCCAGATTGTATACTTGGTGTTGTTATTGTTACACTTCCTCCAGTTAAGTCACAGCTTGTAGTAATTTGACATCCAGAACTTTGATTCTTTTGTAATTCTTCATTGATTAATGGAAATCCAAGAACTTGTGTATTTTTTTCATATCTTTGAAGGAAATCTTCCCTTTGTTTATCAGTTCTTGGTTTTTCCAAATCAAGTGTCATTGATGGATAGTTGAAGGAATTGATAACTGGTTGCGTATGAATTATAGTTGGTGCATTTATAAAACAACCACCACCACTAGTATAACTCTTAGGAACTAGCAGGCCACCATAGTAACAGGTTGTTGGATGAATTAGAGTATTATCTTCATTCATATTTTTAGGTTCACAACAACCTGGAGCTGGAAATCGGTGACGACAGCTTGGGCACATCACTGTCAACATTTTTTGAAGATAAATCTTACTTTCAGCATAACACAGTCTTGTATCTGTAAATAAAAAACAATTTTCTTTTTATAAAATCATAATAAAAATATAAAAATAATATAACAACATATAATTTATAATTCAATATATATATATATATATATTATATAATATAATATTTTTTTAAATTTATGATTATTATGATATAATTGCATTACAATTTTAAATTATTTTTAAATCGGAATATTTACGAAAAATTTATTTCCTATAATAGTTAAACAATAAAAAAAAATTAAAATAATTATTTAAATTAAATTCATAAAAATTTTAACATAAATATAAAATATAAATAAAAAATATTAAAGAAAAAATAATAAAAATTAATAACAAAAATTAATAAATAATAAAAATTAATTTAAGATATGAAAATATGAATTTTTATGATACTATACAATAATATTTTGTACTTTAATCATTCACTATACATGATTATTTATAAGTGACTAGTATAATTTACGTAATTGACCGCATTGCGTAAGTTATTTTCCATGAAAATCTGTTCCAACTAAAAATACTGACATGCCTCTGTAATTTCGTTTTTCTCGTCATTTCAACGCAATCATTTCAAAAATCTTGATTATATTAAATTTATATAATATTATATTTATCCATATATAATAATTTAAAATTTGATTTTTTATTTTTTAAAATCATTTTATTTTTATTTTAATTAAATTTTGAATTTTTTCAATTCTTATTTTCAAAGTCATAATTTTATTACATAATTAAATAAATTTGAATTTATTTTCAAAAAGTCATTGCTAATTTAAAGAGATTATTTATTTTCAATTATACAATTACAATAAAATTAAATTTTTCCATTAAAGAACAAAGATAACGTATGATTAAATAATTTTTTTCAATTTTATTGTTTATTTTAATAGTATATTTTAATCAAATTATAAAATAATTATATGCTAAGGCAGCTGCTACTTATTCTAAGAATAAAATGTTTCGCGTTCAACCCGTGTTCTTACAAGGTTGATCAACAGACGTAAAAAACAGTGAATAATTGTCCAATGCGTAGTAAATAAAGGAATTCCAACTAAATCAAATTATTTCCATTTCACTAATTACATTAATTAATAATATTTTATATATTAATAGATTAAATATTAATAGATGAAAATTATTTTGAAATTTTCATTTATTAAATTATTAAAAATATTAATGAATTTGATTATTAATTTAAATTATATATGATTATAAAATAAAGAATGAAATTAACCAATCCATTTAATTAATAATTTTTCATTTCACGAATATAATTTTTGTATCATTTAATATGCAAAATATCAATAACAAATATTTACAATCATCATTCCTATTTAACTACAGTTATCGTTTTCTATTACCATTGAAACAATATACATGAACGTAATACCAATAAAAAATCAAATAAAACAAAGAGATATAATGAAATATGAAACAAGAAAACACAAAGAATTTGTCTAATGAATATAAATCGATTTCTCATGCATATCCCCCTACCAACTAATCGAGCGAGTCACTCGTTGACATAAGAGTCCGTTAACCTTGTCAGTGTCTCACTGGGGTTATTTAAATAATCGACCAAACGTTAAGCGCAACTTCCACTTACGACTTTACGATTCATAGTTTAAGACCAGGTGTCGCATTCTCTCGTGATCCCGACAGGAATAGAGACGCATCTTTCGACATCGTTCGCGCGCACCACAGCTGCCTTCTTTTCCCATTGTGTTTTAATGGGCCACGTGGCAGAGAGATGTCCGAGTGTTAGTAAAGCGGCACGGAGCCGCTTTTCCACGAACGTGTCGCAACGCTAGAAGGCCAAGCCCCCATTTAGAAGTTGTTCTTGGCCTCTCCAACTCCCCACCATCTCTTTCCCCACTACTGGCGCGCGGACCAACTGACGATACCTCCTACTCTTCTACTCCAAATCAACACAACTGATTTCTCTATATCAATCGTATACAGATTTTTCCAAATATTTGTTCGTTGTTTCGAACAGGATTAATCTCGTGTTTGCAATTTAAAAATAAATCTTGAATGATAATAAAAAATATACAATATAAATTTTACGATATTTATTTAAATTTGTAGAGCAAACATTTAAATCATTTTATTAGAACGTGAGTAATATTACGTTTTAGTGACCTAGTAACATTTATTTTTCTCTGGTAATTTTGAAACGTTCGACAATTTTTTAAAAGTGTCACAAAATATCGTGAGAAAAATAAAAAAAAAGGAAATCAATGTTTTTCTTGCAACGCAATATTCTAGCGAATGGAACACTTTCGCCAGAATTGTCGTGTCACGATTAACAAACTTGCAGTTACAATAAATATTCATCGTTCCGAATAAAAGGCACGAGTGCCGAAGCCAATTTCGAGAAACGATTTCACATCACGTCATCGACGAATTGATATTATCCGGAACCCCATAATCGGTTCTACCAGAAACTTCTTCACGTGTTTACAACCCCTTAATTCACGTTATCGATAAGCAAAATTACGATGTAAATGTATTATCAGAATCAACGATAATTACTAAGATAACATTTTCCAGGAACGCACAACTCCACGATTCAATCAAATTACATCGAACACAAAATGTATTTTGAAAAGTAATGTATATCTTATCCTCTAATAAATAGATCCTCTTAATCTAATAATAATAATATCCTCTTAATCTTTTGAAACAATTGTATTTTTTTTTTTTTTTTTCATTTATTCAAGATACTTGCGAAATAATATCAATAATACACCAATTATGATTATTACGCGAGAATTTTGTTTTTTCGTAAATTTTTTTTTAATAAATTAAGAAATTTATTTTGTAAATTATCTTTTGAGAAACGTATTATTAACTTGATTTTTTTTTCGATGAAAATAAATTTTATGGATAAAAATTATATTTATTGAAATTAAATATTAGAACGTTTATAAATAGAATTAATGAAAAAAAAAAATTATATAATGTCTATTCTGATATCCAGAATCTAATTTAATCTAATAAATTGTACAACAATAAACAAAAGCGTGAAACACAATAAAATATTGTTTCATTTCGTGACGCAAGTTAACTTTATCAACTCTTCCTTGAAACAATAATCGTCAATTGATGACACGTTTAAACACGATATCGAAATTATGCGCTATTTAAATATAGGACTACTCATACATGCCCACTTATATGATCAAATGCTGTCATTTCTTCAATCTATTTTGAAATTCTAAATTTTCATATTATTTCTCTTTTCTCTCAAATATTTATCTAAAAATTATTATTATTACTATTAACTATCACTTGTTTCTTCTTATTTTTAACTCACGTTCAAAATATTTATTCCTCTTATCTAAACGATCTTTTAAACAAAAAATTTAAAAACGATATATATTTTTTTTTTCAGTCAGAAAAATTTTATTCATTAATTAATTAATTAATCGAACAAACGTGTAATCCGAATTAACATTTTCGTCTGAACAAGCAATATTGATATTTCTTTCAAATTAATAATAAAAATGATTCAATAAATAAATAATTACATACATATTCCTTGAATTTTGACGAAACGAAGAATCGAAGAACGCCGTTATAACACTTGAAAATTGTAAAAAGGTGCAAAATGAAGAAAAAAAAAAAAAAAAGGGAAGCGTAAATATTATAAAGAAAAAAAAAATTCCGATTATTTATTAATTTTGATTTTTTTTTTTTTTTTTTGTTTTACCACTCAAAGTGAACCTGATCTTTATTCTTCCTCGACCATCTGTTCTCTCCTGTCGTTGGAATGCCAAGGGGAGTGGAAACGGTGGAAAGAGAGAGAAGGAGAGAAAAATCTTTCTTCGAGCAAGGAGGACTTCGCAGAATTGGACGTTGTAGTTTTATTTGAGGAAACAGAACGAGACTCTGATGGAGGGCCACAAAATTAGAAGAAATTTAAGAGAATGTTTTTTTTTGTACTATCACAGGAATTCAAGATTTACGAATGCATCAACGAACGATATTATAAAAAAGGATTTCGTTTCTTTTCTTGGAAACTTTTTGCTTATTTATCAATTAGAATAATTTTCTTTCATAGATATTATATTTATTTTCGAGATTCGCACGGATATTCGACATACATTGTAAACAAATCTTTTAATAAAATGAAATAAAATTGTAACAATTTAACATAATAATATTTTGTTAAAATATTTTAATAAATTAAAAAAAAAAGAGGAAAAAAGGAGAAGAAAATAAAATCGAAGGAGGAAGAAGATTTGTGATTAAAAATTAAAAGAATAAACGGATATTATGTTACGTATTATGTGTAGCAGAAGAGGAATGAAAAAGTGCATAAATTTGGCGAAGAAAAAGCAACGAACGAGTTTTACGATTCACGTTCAAACTCATAAGGTGGTTCGAAAGCATCATAAATCGAGAGAGAGAAGGGTTTGGGATCTACCCTGTTCCAAGGGGTCTGACTAGAAATTCGTCTTCTTGGAAAACGACGAACTGGGCTGATGACCTATACGCCGGCGAAATACAGTTCGTCGTAGCGAATGCTAATTTTACTGGTCAACTTCATCGATGCCTCTACGGTCTTTCGGTTATACAGCTCATTTCACGAATGATTTATCGATATTAGCAAATATTATATATCTAAATCTTATTTTTAATCTTTAATAAAGATTTTTATTTTACAATAAATACGCGTATAATATTTTATTATTAAACGAAAAATCTGATATCCAAACTTACCGTTATAAAACGTAACAAATTATTTTTAAACTTAATTCCCTTACTAATATTGGTAATCTGTAAAATTTAAAGTGATAAAAAAAAAAAAAAGTATGTAATTACATTTTTCTTTTTAAAACGGTATTTTTTTAATAATATTAACTTTTTTGAAGTTTACACGCGTAATATTTATAATTAAGATTTGGATTTTATGAATATTGTGATTGTTTGCAAAATATAAATAAATAATTACGAATAAAAAAAATTAGTATAAAAATATGATTCGAAGAAAAGTGTAAGGATAAAACGAAAGGAGAATAATAGAATAACAAGATAAAATTTTGAGTTAATTGAACAGTCACCACTTATGAATGATACTGTAGTTGGCCTCATTATCGACAAGATTTCCAGCAAGTATAAATGAGAAGAGGTTCCTCGAATGAGTGGTAACACGGATTTTATCACTTACAGATAAGCATGAATTTTATTTTACAAGCCTTCGGAGAAATAAACCTGCTTCCGTGAACGGAATTACTTTTGTTATTATAAGTATTAGAGCTTTAACCTCAAGCTATTAATTAACGATTTCTTTCAACTTAATCCCTAGAATTAATTTAAAACAATAATTACTTTTATTGTGAAAATATGATAAAATAAATAAATTGGAAAACTATTTCGATATATATTTTGTTAAAAATAAAATTAATTTAAGATACGTGAAATTTCTCTTCTTCAATTCTAAATTGAAAAAAATCGTTCAAAATGATAATTTTAGCACTTTAACGAATACTTTATAAATTATAATTTTAAAATTGTATTTGATTTATTTTCGTTACAAAAATAATTCAATTTTTTTTTTTTATCTTAAATTGTTAGAAAATCTTAGTATACTGTATTTAAGACGTTAAAACATGAATACCTCCATTTCCGCCACTGCAGTTTATGTATTTCTTTTACCTATTTGTTACAGTCTTTCTGCGAAAAGAGGTCAGAAAGAGAGAGAGAAAAAAAGAAAAAGAGATAGATAGATAGAGAGGGGGGAGAGAGAGAGAGAGAGAATAAAAAGAAATTAAAGATATATGACACGAAATAATTAATTTCTTTTCTTATCATCAAAAAAATGTCAAATATTCTAAATTCTCGAAATTAATCAATTTATCATAATAAAACAGACTTTGACATATGAAATTTATATTTCGGGAATAATGATCCTTGAAATATTAACGTAAAACAAAGATAATCTAAGCATTAAAATTCATAGCATAAATTAAATATTGAAAATAATTGTAAATGTATATGGAACAATGTCATTCTAAGATTACAAAAAATTGTAATGCAATATTGATTTTTCAAAAAATAAAAAATATAATTTAAAAATATCTCTTACTTTGATATTTCTGTAGTTTGGTGACAACTTCAAAGGAAATCCCGTACGAAACTTTCTCTGAAAAAGCACTTCCACTTTCACCTCACGTCTTTCGAAAATAACTCGAAGCACTTCTAAAAATAATTTTTGTTCAAAGTATATATATATAGTATATATCAATATAAACTATCTAATTCTTCGATTTTCAAGAATTGGAAACAAAAATATTTCGGTAGTATAAATAAGAGAATTCTTTTCTACGTATACACAGCGTCTATATTCAAAGAATTGTCAATACTAAAAGGATACAAGATCAATCCCTTCGACGCGAGAGTCGGGATAGCACTGGCGCTGCTACCACTGAATGAATCTATAATTGCTTTGTAGAGATACGCGGTGGGGGCAAACACGTGATCCTGCTGCGAGTAGTGGGGAAATCGTGGAATACTCGCTGAACATTAAGAATTCTATTTTAGCGATGGCTACAATACGAAAACGAATCAAAGTATCGCTAATTTTTGTTAACAATCAAATAATTAATGATATTGAATTTTAGTTTATTATGTTATATTTTTACATCTTAACGATTATTGCTTAAGTAATTTAATATTACGATTGAAGAATCCGAAGTAATTTAATATTACGAGTGAAAAATATATTGAAAATACTAAATATATAAATATGGTTAATTATATATTATTATTATTATATTTATTATATAATAAATGTATATAAAATGTATATAAAATGTATATAATAATTTTAACGTTAGATTTATTATTTTAGTTATTTTGATTACGCAAACCGAAAAGAAGATTCAATAGAAGGTATGCTTACATCAGATAAATATTGTGCAACACAAAAAGAAAATTGAACTTCTTTCTTGGAAATGTATTTCTTCGTATAAATTTTTTTAATTTGCAGACAAAACACGATGACAAAAGACAAATGAATTATTGAAAAAAAATTTACATAAAGATTCTTATATTGTAATGTATTTTCGAATACTTAATACGCTTTCATTGATTTAATAATAGAAACATAAAGTGTAATAAATTATAAAATTTGATTCGTTACGTTTTATTCTATAATAGTATACACAGAAGTAATTTCTTTAATAAAATATTATTATATCGTATCAATTGTACCATATATATGTAAATCATTTTAAATTAGATGCAATTATTGTACAAGAGGAAATAACATATATTAACGGTGAGACCGTTAAAGCTATCGCTATCGCATGCGCGACAGAGCACATGGCTCGCGGAAAAATGGATTCCTTTTAACTGGTTTACGTGCGATCTCGTCTGCGCTATCGCGTCATCGTTCTCGCTTACGAGTTCGTATTTCCGTGGGCTTCTCGACGAAACGTCACGAATTCCGACGATTTGACGCCGTACGATCTTGGCTGCCAATCGATTGCCGCTGCCAGACTAACTACGTACTCCCTCCTCCCTCCCCACCGCACGTACTCGACATTGGCAAACATTTCACGAACTGTTATACGGTCAGAAGTTTCTTTTCTAACGAAATCGATTTCGATAAAAATTTATAATTTTTGCAAAATCATATTTCTTGAAAAATGTATCAATTTTTTTTAATTATATATATATATATAATATATATATACGCATAACGCGTTTGTTTATAAACGATTCGTTGGAACGAAATGAAACGAATCATTTCTTTCAAATTGAATAAAACATATATATATTTATATGGAAAAATTCTTTTTTTCAATAACGAATTGACTTTTTATAAATAACACGTGTCAATGATATTCAACGATTAATTCAAGTGTTTTATGCATGCAACGATGTCGAGGATAATTTTAATTGACTTCCGAGGAAAGCAGTGTGTTATATACATTTTTGGTTTATTCACATTTTTATCGTGTATTACATCAAAACGTCAAAACAAAATACATATATAAAAATAGATTCACTAGATATAAGAAATATATCGAATATTTTTGCGAGGTATAAATAACACGTTATATTAAGATACTTTGGTTTATCTTCACGTACGAATTTTATTTATTCTTTTTTTATTTTTTTTCTTTTCTTTTCGCATTAGATCTGTGTGAATATCGAGAAAAAATAAAAAAAAATGAAGATAATAATTGTGTCTGACGATTAATGCAGAATTCTGGTAAGGGAATGGTCGAGAACGAGAAGAAAAAGAAAACGGGAAGAGAGAGAGAGAGAGAGAGAGAGATGAAGAAAAGGAGAAAAAGAGAGAGAAAAGTAGAGAAAGAAAGCGAGTGAACGAGCGAGCGAGCGAAACGAAGAGAGAAAGAGAAAGAGCCACGCGTACCTAAGACACGTTATTCTTGTTCAATTCCAAGAATAAATCCGTAAGAATCCAGCTGGTCGTACAATACGAGTTTCTCTTAACAAAATACGCTACACTCCCTTCGTCCCACCTCCTTTTCAAACATTTTGCAAAACTTTCCGATTCACTCTAGATTCCAATATGCTCTGAGGCCATTTATTTTTTAGACATTTTCATTGGAAACGGTGAAATCTTATCTGTAAACTTAATCTTCTTTTCAAGAATTCTGTTTCTATTTACCTTTAAGATTTTTTTTTTTTTAGTCTGTCAATATACATTTCTAAAAATAAACTCTAACAGAAGAATGTTTTTCAACGTTCGTCAAATCTTTAATAAAAATTTAATTACCAAACTTTTTTTTCTTTTATATACATCATTTTTACGATAAAACGAGTTTTAAACGAGTTTTTTAAACGATAAAATTTGTTGTTATGCATACTGTGTATCTTAACACGAGCAATAAGTATCAGCTGGATAACTGATTAAAACTGATTAACACAACGTTCGTGTTATGTAAATAATAAGCAATTTTAAAAAGCTACATTAGAATTATTTTTAAATGTATATATTTATACGAATATATGATTAATTTATGTTTCAATCTTGATAAGGAAATCGTTCTTTTTTTAAGTTTTCGTTACTTTTATTTTTAACGATTACGAAAGCGATTATAAAAAGCGATAAAAAAATATATGTATAATTTACACGGAATATATTTCCATCGTGCATTTTATTAGAATTCTAACCGTCAAAAAAATTATTGCCTATCGATGATGCACGTAGTCCAAAAGAGTAACACCTGGCCATGAGTCATAAGTTTGAAACCTATATCCTAGTAGATCATGTGACGTTTCTTTCACGCGACCATTCGTATCCGCTCATCAATTTTTTATTCATTTATCGATCGTTTAATAACTTTTATTTGTAAATATATATATTTTTTTTTCGAAAATGATCCGTTTCTTTTTCTCTAAATTTTAATAGAAAAAAAAAATATATATATATATATATAGTTAATATTTCGTTGTCTAAGAAAAATGTTAAAAATCATTTTAATTGAATTTTCGTGTTGAAATTTATTTCGATAATAAAAGATGCGACTGTAACGGCCGACAGAGAAACGTGTGTTCGTAGATCGCACATTTCCAGAAACCTTTTATGTTTCCTGAACAATGGGTGGAGGCCGATTCCGTTATTAGGAATACAATGCGTCCCATTGTGCATTTATGGGGACCTAGTGGGGGAGATTTCGTGGTAAATTGACGGGTTTTATAGAAATCGTACTTTTTTTTTTTAGGTTGAACTGTTCCATCTTTCTTCGAGCTTTGATACGCTTAAAAAAGTTTTCATATACCAAAAAAAAAAAAAAAAAAAAAAAAAAAAAAGGACCGAGAAAAATCTTTACAAAATATTTTTCATTCTGTGGTTAAAAGTAGAAAGAAGTTCGTGTAAATGTATACACAGTTTCGTGAAATAGATAATAATGGCAAAGAGAAAAATGGCGAATCCGATTTTGTTTGTGTTGAAAAACGTGAGATTTAAAAATGTATTTACACGTTGGCGTCGAAGAACTACGTCGAAATGAATCTGAAATCATTAGTAATTTAGTAACTGTCATCGGCGATGACACCAGTTAAGACATATACTTACTTATTTGCACGTATACATTAAAGTTAACGCGTGCAATTTTTACAATGATTTATCATGGTAATACGCACAATGTTATGTAATCAAATATTGCGTTAAACTTCGTGAAAAATTACGTCGATGTAAAATTATTAAAATATATAATCGCGTATAATTAAAAATAATATTCTAACAGACACATGTTGACATCGTTTGAGAAAAGGTAAGAATATCGTGCTTTATTAAAAAAACACGGAATTTTAAATTTTATTTATTCTTTTTTTATTTTTTTTTCTTTTTGCATTAAATCTGTATGAATTCTAAAAAAAATAAAAAAAAATGAAGATAATAATTGTATCTGACGAGAATTCTGGTAAGGGAATGGTCGAGAACGAGAAAAAAAGAGAACGGGAAGAGAGAGAGAGAGAGAGAGAGAGAGAGAAATGAAGAGAAGGAGAAAAAGAGAGAGAAAAGTAGAGAAAGAAATAGCACGAGATACATATAAAATTGCAATATAAAAAAAAATAGGTAAGTAATTTGAAAAAATTTATATCGAATCTCAGTCGATAAAATCACTTTTATTTCTTTTTTTTTTTTTAAATTAAAATTTATTTCAAGGATTGTCAAACGTTCTTTTTGAAACATCGTAAGAACAAAGAATTAACCAAAGGCTTTAATTTCATCGCGATCATAAAATCATAATCAACGAATTTTTTTATTATATTTTTACTCGCTTACGCAAGTTAAATAGAAATATATATATATAACGGGCTGTTTGGTTTCAATCCGCAACGGTATTATGGAGTACCAATTATCGCTAAATAAGCTAGTGTAACAATGCAGTGGCAATAATTGAAGTAGCGATAGATGCATTGGAACGATTTCCTTGAAACGATATACGCTCAATGCGAGCGCAATTTTAATTCAAACGTTAAATTGCGAAAGAGGCGCAACTGCTGAATCTCTCTCTCTCTCTCTCTCTCTCTGTTGAAAATAATATTTTCCGCGTATTCTTACAGAGTCCAAGTAATTTGTAACGATTAAGCGCACTTTGGCAAGAATGCGTAAATGATTTTATAATGTCGCGTTTTCCGCCGCCGCGAAGGTAAATTAGAAAGCTTAACCACGTATACGAGAACTAGAGACTAGAAGATGATAAATGTTATATACTAGAAACGAGCGGACCATTCATTCGGTGGATCTATTTCAGAGAGGATTCCAGGAACGTTTGGAACGGAGAAATCGAGAGACACGCTATGCTCCCATTTCAACTGGTCGCGTATATAGTGGCCTCTCATAGTGTGGTATATTATCGTGTCTGTTACCTTGTGGTAGAGGCAGGCAATCTTATCGCAAACAAACAAACTTCTTTACGACGATTACACTCGATTCTCTCGAATCGACCTTTCCCCGAACAGAGCGTCCAAGGGCGCGCCTTCCGATTAAGGTCGAGACAGTTGTCCGAAACACTTCACGCATATATTAGTTTACACACTAATGTATCCTCTTTCTTATCGATTCTACATATGTATATGCATCTACACCCGTGCCGCTTTCGATTTGTTAGTAAAACAGTTTCCACTTCGACATATGTAACGTACTTGTATACGACCTTCGAAATTAACCTCCGAATGAAAAATGATCCGTAACAGTAGTAGATCCAAACTTATCTAATTTTCGTTATTTAATTGCCGCTACAGCTGACCTTTCAAGTTGAACCGCGTCAAAAATAATGATCCGGTTATCGAACCGTCTAAGGTCAACGATTTATGAAAAAAATGTTTTGATAATTTTATAACATCGTGTATCGATTTAATTTAAATAAAAAATAAAACTTTATAAATTTATAATTAGGTTTCATTGTTAAAAATAAATATTTCGACTGGATCGAAGAAAATAAATTATAAAGAATGAAGATGAAAAAAGATTTGCGATAAATGTATATTTTCATCGTGAAATATTGTTCCAAAATTTAAATCTGAATAAAAAGTTATTTGTACGTATAATTTACTACATCTAACATTTAATTTTTAAATTATAAAGAGTTATGCAAGTTATACAAGTTAGTGTAATATTTTTTTCCATATAAAGAATATAATTTTCTATAATCACTTTTATTTTTATTTTTTTTTTTTATAAATAATTTTTGTTAAAAAAATCGAATAAATAACTCTTCTGTAAAAATAATTTGAAGATGTATTATATAAAATTTAACATTTTATACATACATATAATACATTTTTAACATTTTCTCAAGAAAATAATTTCGAGTTTATAAATTTTAACTTTGCAAAGTTTCAAAGAAACATCAAAGGACATACGATATTACTGAGCTCACATTTAATGAACGTAAAACAAAAGCATGCGAAATTAGGTACAAAGAAATTTTAATGTAAAAATAAAGATATTTTTCCAGGAAAATGTTATTATTTCGTAAATATTTGCCATCGAATGCAAAATATATTAATAATCAAATAGAATGCTTATTCGATGTATGATGAAAGCTTACAAGAATAATATATTTATTAATATTTCTTTCAAATGATTTCCCCGTGCACAAGATATGAAATATATTTTACGGGAAGTTTTTATATACATTTAAATATATAAAATTTCAAACATATATTATCTTAATTTAAAAATAATGTATAACAAATAAAATAATAGAACATATTTCCATGTAAATTTTATCGAATACTTAATTATAAATAATCTTTAAAAAAATTATAAATTTTATGACGCGAATGCTTATATTCTTATTTTACGTAAAAATATTATCTTTTTTTACTAATTAATAATAAAAAATAATAATGTTATTATATTATATTATAGAATAGATATTATAGAATATTTTAGAAAAAATATATATAAGCTATAAAAGTTTCATATATAATTAATGTACAATTGCCAACTTAAACATTCACAATGCGAGAAGCACAATGACAACACTGATAAAATTCAAATTATAAAATCATTGAAATATTGATAACTTTAAAAAGAATGAAAAATAATTATTTTCTAAAAGATAATAATCAAAATAAATTTATATATTTATTTTTAATATTTATAATGTGAAACAAATAATATATCAAAAAAAAATATAAGAGTTTATATGATTTAGATCGTATAAGATAACGAGCATATTTTAATAATCATAATCTAGTACATTAAGAATATAAAAATAAAATTATTTCAAATTTCATACTTCAGTTTTATATACATATTAATGAAAAAAATTAATGAAGAAATATAACGGCATTTTTTCTTATACGTTATAAATCCAGAAACAAATAAATACAAATAAATCAATACTGTTTTACGAAATTACTTGTAAAAGATATAGTAACGCGTTAAGAAATAGGAAATTTATACAAAAATAAAGATTTAAAAGGATAAAGGTGAACGTACCTTTTATACTCGTTCTCGAAGCGTCTCCTGTGTGTATATACAGTTACGGATACTGCACAATATAGATTTAAATTTTAAGGAATCTCCGAAACTTTCATTGATAAAACTATAAATTTGAAAGGCTATCACTGCTTGATTTCACTTATTTTACATTTGTTACAAAATTTATGCTACGATTTTCATTCGGCGAATATACTTTAGCGTCTCAAACGAAGCTAGTTTCGCCATTGGCATTGTTAGTTCTTAGAATCGACAACAGGGGGTGCTCGAAATACATGAGTAGGATTATCTCCAATATTTAAATTCCATCTATTTGACTGTACGAAAAATGTTAATAAATGAAAATTCGTTTCGAAAGATAATATTATAACGAAATGAATATAATGTAATATATAATGTATTTTGTACAATTTATGTTTTATACTGTGTATATTCATATTGCTATATTCGTTGCTACAAGTTACAGATGTTTGTTAATACTTACATGTATTTACGTAAAAATATGAATGAATATTTACAATTTATACAATTTATAAAGATTAAAGAACATTATTGACATAATCAATATCACGATATATCATTACTGTTATATTTTTAACAGCAGTAACAAACACTTGAATTACAATTCGCAGTTAAGATATATTAACTTAACTTTAAACAAAAATTTATTCAATGTTAAATATATATTTAAATACCTTTCTAGATTTTTAGAGATGAAAGTATAAATTCTTCGTTAAAATCAGTTTTTGATGTTCTCAAAGGAATTAAACAAATACGTAAGTAAATTTTGATGAATTTAGGAATACTGGATATGTACTTATTTTTTTCTATAGTAAAACATCACTGCATATTATATAATAATAATATTATTCATCAGCTCCATTTTGGCAGTGGTATTTTCGTTCAAATACTCCTAAATTCAAAAAAATTTTAATCATAATCAAATTATTTGAAGAAAATTATCTTTAACGCCATCTGTTGGCATAGTATATAAAGTTTTATAAAAACTTACTTCTTATAAGATAAAGAAAATAAAATTTGAAATACTTACATTCTTTTTGTAAGAAATGTCGATAATAAATGTTATCAATGTCAAATTATATTATTAATGTACATGAATATAAAATATTATATTTTATTAGTATTTATTTATAAGTTTATGTCGATCAAAGACAAAAAAACAAATAAATACTAATTTTATTATTAAATTATTTTACTTATTCAAAAATCACAATCACTTTATTTATTCGATAAACAAAAATCACGGGAAAAAAACTTTATTATTTTCTTCTTAACTATACTTGTGTTACTTGTGTATGATTTGTACCTGTATTTCCATTATTTTGTATACAAATTTGTTTTCCATTATTCTTGGAAATATTCCAATGTTTGCAGAATAGTTCGTTAAACGTTTTCCTGAATTGTCTACTCATTGTACAATATAAAATGAAGTTTATGGCTGAATTTACAAGTGTTAACATATCAATAACATCACCTGAAAATTAATAAATATTTGTTATATGCGAAGAACGAACGTTTATTTCAAAAACATTTTCTATCGAACATTATATTATTAATATATCATAAATGTTGTAAATATTTTGATTAACAAAAATTTAACAATTAACACGGATCAGAAAATTTTTAATTTTACATTTTTTTTTTCAAGCATATCAAGATTTTACAAATTCCACGATTTTAAAATTTTTTTTACTACATTGCTTGTTTGTATTGAATGCTTTATACTATACTGTTTTTATATTATAGTGACGATAACTTCGTCACTATATATAACTTCCTTCATAGGAAAAAATTCTTTTTCTCTTCGACGATATTTTTTTTTGTATTTTTTATAATTTAAAAAAAAAATATTCAAAAATAAAAAAAAAATTATTACACATACATGTATATTATATATTATATAATTATCTCGTTAATTATCCCCTTAAGTTATATTTTAGTCTTATATATCAAAAGATTAAAATCTTTATCATATTATACTTATGCAAAAATACATGGAATATTTGAAATAAATTATATTTCAAACATGAAACGAATTACTATTTTATTTTTTAATTAATATTTGATAAATAATTTTTCATATACCAACCTAACATCAAATAACAAGCTTTGAAAAATCTTGGGCCAAGGAGCACGCTAAAAAGACCCAGAATTCCCTGTGGTAGTTCGGTCAATAAAAAAAGTAGTAAAACTGCGAGCAACATCATAGTAGTTCTATCAGTCTGTCGTTCCTTATCTGCTCTTCGACAACTCTTTTTTTTCTCAAAATTTTGTTCTTGAATGTTAGTCAATTTCCGTCTTCTTCGTTTTGCCTCCAATAGAACTTGCAAAAGTTTTAAGCTCACAATCGTAAGCACGAGGCAAGGAAAAAGTTTTATCACAACACTATAGATCCAGAAATTTAGTTCCTTTATGATATCATGATTTTCCGCTGTTTCTGTTAATCGGACGAAATAAAGCGTCGTATTCGTCATATTTCCTAAACATCAAAAGAAAAAGATTCATTAACTTGTTATAAAATAAACGTAAAAAATTATAATGCTTTTCGTGCAATAATGCACTTAAGAGGAGGAATGTTATTCTCTGTTCATTTTTTTTTTTTTTTTTTTTTTACGCAACATCCTTTTAAGAAGCTTTTTCTTCTTCGTACATAACCTTTGCTCAAAATGTACGACACACGCTTATCTCGCAATATCTCAACATCATTTATACACTTTTATCGTTAAAAATTTTAGTTCTATCATTCCATTAATATTTATAATATCATTTTTAATCAAGAATTTTAATTTTATTAATTATGAAAACGTAAAAAATATTTCGTGTATGTTATTCATATTATTATACGATATTCTCATATCAAAGTACATTTATACAGTTTAATTTTAAGTTAATTGATTACTAAGGTATTAAAAAATTATTTATGTCACAGTTTCTATGATACTCAAATTTGAAGGAAATTATATTAGCTAACTCAATATTGAGATCATTTTCCATGGAAATGGTATTATGATCTTGCCAGCAGAGGATGGAATTATTCCATTGAAATATGAAGTTCAATTCATTAATGCACGCGCTGCGTACTTCCAACTTTGCACTGATATTAAATCAAGATTACAAGTGCTATCAATTTATCCGTAAATATGTTCAATATCAAGCTTTTCGTAATAATTAGTAGGTATTCATTTTAATCATAATTGTTTATACTCATTCTATATTTTTATTATTATTGTTTTTCGTAAAAGATAACAATGTATTAATTATAATTTCTAAAATATAAATACATATCGTAATCGTAAATACATATCAATTATCTTTATTTAGAATTTCAAATTTAAAATTTCAAATATTCTATAATATTCCTTTTTTTTAAAATTATTTAAATTATTTTAATATTAAAAATTATATAATATTTTAAATATATTAAATATTTTAGATATGTTATATGTTTTAGAATCAGAATCTAACCTAAAATGTTAAGTTTTAGAATCAAATCTTGGAATTTTAAGAATTGAAGAACGAAAAAATATTGCTGATCAACAATAATTAAGTAATGTGTAAATAAATTAGAGAAATAAAATCAAGTTACTTACCAATTAAACTTTTATTTGGATTATGTACAGTCATTCCATTGGAGTCGAGAAGTTCAACTTGTTTTCTTACTTCTGTTGTAATATACAGTGGTATACAAAGTATGGGGCAGAAAATATAGGCGATTAAAATAGCAAAAATAGTTCTTCTGTAACTACACCATTCTCTGTTTTGTTGTGGTTTTGCCACAGCCACATATCTCCACACGGCCAATATCAAAGTTAAACAGATCGAAATCGTATGACAAACCTGTGAATTTTATTCCGCAAATTTTATCTTCATTTTTCCTTCTACCTTCGCAACGTAATTTTCAATTATAAATTCTATATATTCGTTTATATAAATTCTATATAAATTCTATATATTCTATATATTGTTTTTCAACATCCGAATTATAATCTAATCTAATCCGATAAAGAGAAAAATAATTTTTTTAATCGTAATGAAATTCTGTTTTTTTTTCGTTTAAATATCATAAAATTTTGCCAAGTTTGATATACATTGATACATGATTATTTCATTATTATTAATTTTCCTAAGAAATATAATATTAAATTGGAAAAAAAATAAAGCTAAATTCATTATTAAATTGCAATTAAATTTTTAATTATAAGTGAAGATAGAGAAAGTATAGAGCATTGGAGTAATTGATTTCCAAACATGTAGGTCGAACCTCATCAAACAAAAGCAAGGGAATGATGATCTAGGAAGAATGCACTCATAATGCAATCATAAATACCAAACGATTTTATAGGTCAGTAGTACAATAACATTTGTTATCATTTTTCATTCGGAAAGGCAAAATTACGCAGTCACCTTTCCTTTAATCAAATCTAGTCAAGATAAATACTTAATAAATTTTTCTCATTTGCACATCGTAGAAAATAATTAAAAATTCATAATAATAAGATTTCAAAGTAAATATAATTTATTAATCGAATTTTCTTAATCTCAAGCCTCTATAGTTTTATAATGAAATGAATATTCTTTCGATTCTTTTCAATTTCACGAACGTATAAAATATATTTTTGTTATCATTAAACTATGGATATTTATGAAGCTATATTCTATTCGAATATTCAATTAATATAATGGTTTTCCAATAAATTGACATTATTTGTCCGAAAAAATTAATTTATAACCTTAAAAATCTGAATCTTTCGATCCACGTCTCAAGATAATCAGAATTTTTACTATATTGATGTAAAAAAATATATATATTATACAAAATGGACATAAATATTCGCAATTCAAATAATCAATTGATGGTAATTTACCTGAGAAAAGTTCGAGTGGAACAGCACGAAGATCGTCCATCCGTACGTGAACGTGTCCCTTCTTGATCGACGATACAGATAAAAGTGAAACGCATAAGGTATGTAATCGATCATTACGAGCAGATCTGCTACGGCCAATCCCATTAAAATTATATTGGTCGGTGATCGCATTTCTCGTCGAGTAAGAACGAGAATGTTCAAAATGTTGGCGATCGAGCCGAAAATACAGACGAAAAGGGAGATCCATCCATGCAAATGCGAATAATACGAGTAAAAGGATGATAAATCGCAAACGTAGTAGTTCGACGATGTGTTAAAATCCGTCATGATTATTTTAAATCCGCTTCCTTCTTCTTTGTGTGCTTCGGTTAACGGTTTTCTTCAATCGTTGAAATTCTACCGGATAATTTCCAACGCGTATTAATTTCGATCAAGCGTATTTGGTAATCTTCGAATAATAGTAAAAGAGTTTGATTCTTCGGAGAGGCATAGAAATTTTTTCTTCGAGCAAAAATTTGTTAAATATTTCCACCTTTGATTTTTATCATTTGACCATTGATCGAGAAATAAACGAAAAAAAAAAAAAATAGAAAATAAAATAAAATAAAACAATAAAAATTGTTTTATCAATTTTTTTTGTCTCTTAAAATAATTTTAGTTTAGAATATTTTAATTTCTATTGTTATTATTCCTATTGTTATTATTAATTTTTTAATTTTTCAAAAAGATACGGTGAAATTATTATATTTACTCTCATGTTTATACTTCAGAGAGAAGTCCGAAGGACTTCCTTTTCGAGTCTTGAAAAGTATTTCAATTTTATTTCTCTATCTTTTACAGACTCTTTGAAAGTGATGGTTCTTTATCCTTAACGATGCACTATTGAATCAGTGTAAAAAGTTGAGAATCTATAAAATCCGTGAATACGTTGATTATTATAGTAACCACATCTTCTTTCAATTTTTCTTATTGAAATTAAACAAAACTAATTTTCCACCGTAATAAGCGTACCGTAATAACTAAAAAAATTCAACAATTTCATTTACATTGTTATTATATAGTTTTAATTATAATTTTAAAGAAATTCCTTTTCATTTATATAATCGTTCTTATATAAAAGTTTGACAGTTTTTAATCTTACTTTTCAATACCGAATATAACAAAAGAAAATTAAATAATAAAGAATTAAAACACTATTCTCGATGAAATTCGATTTAAGCGATTATTTATATATATATATATATATATATTTATCAAAAGCGCCTAAATTCGAACATTGTCGAAGTTTGTCCACACTACGAGATATAACGAGCAAAGTATCGAAGAGGTAAACAACGAGTAAGTAACGAATAAGAAGATCGAAGCGTCGCGATGTCGGCAAAGCTAATGTCGCCGCGACGCTAACCGTGCTCCAGTTGCCCCCAAATTTTAACGCAGACGCAGATCGCTCTTCTCTATTCCCCTTCTCTTCCCTTTCACCCTATCGGTCTCTTACTCTCATTTATCACTCGATTCAACCGCTTACTCCGTCTCCTTACCTTACTTACCCTTTATATCTGGTATGTAAATGAATTCTCGCTTCTTATTTTTTTCCTCCTTTTTTTTTTTTTTNCCCTTTCACCCTATCGGTCTCTTACTCTCATTTATCACTCGATTCAACCGCTTATTCCGTCTCCTTACCTTACTTACCCTTTATATCTGGTATGTAAATGAATTCTCGCTTCCTATTTTTTTCCTCCTTTTTTTTTTTTTTCATTTTTTCATAGATCGAACATCGAGCATTCGACGAGCTTTCTTCTATCCAGGAAGAGGAGGGGAGAAGGAGGAGGGAGATCTCTTCTCAAAGTAACTCCGTGAAACGAATATAACAATCGGTATGACGATGGTAACGTAAATTTTTTTATTGGATTTCGTTGAAATTCCAACGGAGTTTACGTTCGTGCAGTTTACGTCTGATGTACGATCCGATTGTCGATATCTTCAATTTTTTTTTCTCGACTTGACCAGTCGCAAAAAATTTCAGTCACAAATTGTGGACGTTTAATATAGTTCCTTAATGGAGAAAGGACGATGATAATTTTCACGTAGAAAGCCAATTATTAGATCGATTAATCGAGAAATTTCTTTTTTTATCTTTGTTGAAACGGTACATTCGATCAAAAATAATTACAATAAAATAATTTTATGAAAAGTTTTCGAGATGAAATTCAACGAAGCATTAAAATTAGAGATATCGATTCTTCTTAATCGAAATATTGAAGACGAAGGCCTACGTAAGTATATTTATTATATTATATAACATTATTTTTTTATGAGAAATTTTTTTTTCTATTACAATAAAACATGGCTTTCCTCGCAATCCCAATCATTTTCTTCAATTTCAATACGAATAAGCAATACTTGTTCTGAAATCTTCATCGTGAAGATTTTATTCGATGTGTGCATATTCATTTATTGCAATTTGATTAATACAGAAATAATCGTATAAAATAAAATTGTAATTTATAGAAAACGATAAATGGTTAATGAATTGGTTAAAAAAAAAAATAAGACACGATTTTCCCTCTTTTACGGTTCGTAAAAGATTGGGTGGATGATGATTTATTATATTATTATGCACAGTGAAGGTGGCAATTTTTGTGGATATTGCATCGATTATACTTAAATCATATTACGATGAACGTTTTAATTAGTTTATGCTACTATTTATCTTCGTTAATAAAATAATACTTTGCACATTAACATTATTACAATTATTATGATTCTTATTTAATTATGAATATAGATACAAATTCTCATAATAATAATTCATAATCATAGTTTTTTCACGTTTAGACGAAATTTTTTTAACCTGAAAATATTATCGACGTTGTTCTCTGGCGGCAAAAAAAAAAAGGAGAAAATAAAATCTCAATATGTACGAATGCAAACATAGTAGTTCACATAGCATGATTTATACGTTTCGTAATATACATTTTTTTTTGTCCCTTTGTACCGAGATAACAAATGTGTGTTTGCTTTAGGATATTTTTAAAATTGTGAAAAGTATTATTACTTAAAATTATGAGATTATTAATTAAAACAATTATATTCTTGATTTTACCATTACTATTGACGTAAAGAGAAAAATGTAAAGAGGAAATTTAATTATATAAATTCTCTTCTTATAGATAAATATCGCGATATTTTTTTAAGATTTTATTGAAAATTTAATAGCTTTATATTACTTATATATATATATAATAAATCAAATAAATCGCAAAAAAAATTAAAAATTAATCGTTATCTATAAAATATTATACAAATCAAAATATTCTTGCAATTTCACAGATTTAGATTAAGATTAATTTGAAGAAGAAACGAGAGAAAATAAAAATTTAAAAAAAAAAAAAGAAACAGAAATATATAAAAATATAATTATATAAGTATAAATACGAATTATTTAAAAAAAACAGATATACTTAAAATTATGATAAAATATATTAAGATAATCATTGTTGAATATAGGATAATTCGTTTGACATTAATATACTTTTCCTTGAAACAACATTTGTCATAATATTTTATATCATATTAAAATTAATCAGTGAAAACTGATAATTGATTTCTTCAAAATTTTATCCATTTCGTCCATATAAAAACTTCATGTATTCATGGTGTATTTATTTTATTTCTGAAAATTCAAAATAATTAAATTTGAATTACAATTAAAAATGTCACGAAATTGTTTCATCGATCATTTTTTATCTAATCGATGAAAGAATTTTCAAAATTTTCAAAGTTATTTTCGTGTTACAACGTTTTGAATTAAAAAATATTCATCGAATTGAGTCGATTTTTATTCCAATTTAATTTTTACTTCTCAACTTGAAAATAAAGTTATAAATTAAGTACGATGGATTATTCGACACTTTTTTTTTTGTTTTTAAAGATAATTTAATGAAAGAGGAAGCAAGTTACAAGTTTCCTCGAAGCTTAAGAAACTTTTTCTTTTCAGTTTCAAACATGTAAAAGCAATTTCAAAGAAAATCGATGTTTATCAAAGTTTCAGGCACGAACGATTGGCAGCAAGAGGGCATAAAAAAATAACAACATTTGTGCATCTAACGTATATATCATAAATGTTGTAAATTTAAAACTTTTTTAGTTTTTTCAACTTTTCTTTATGTAAAACTGACTATAAAATTTTCCTGTTCAGATTCAAATAAAATTGTGAAAAATGATAGAAGAAAAAAAATATACCTCAAGTTTTTGTCGTGTCATATATCATTGTTTCCTTGAATAGAATTATTCTTGGCAGAAAAATTTTTGAAAAATCTTCAGAGTCTCTTCACTTTTCAAATTTCGTTGCTTTCGTTGAAAAAAAAATAATAATAATTATTATGTAGATATCTATTCGAAGGAATAAAAATATTCGAAGGTAAAATTAAAAAATACATGATAAAATTTCATATTCATATCGTTGAAATTTTTTGCTATCATTTCCAACGCAGTAATTTGAAAAAGAATTGGTTTCCATTCGTTCATCATCAACGCGAGTTATTCTTTTATCAATATTAAATGTTATTCGCTTACTTTTTTAAAAATTATTTATTTATTATATCTTTTTAAAAATATATATTTGCAAGCAATTATATAAGTGAATATTACACATAAATTTTATGATATTTTATAGATGAAATTTACACATGTATAATGCCAATTATTCTATATATTCGAATAGAAAATACACATAACGTGACAAAAATATATTTATAAAATATATAAATATATGGAATACAAAAGTATTCGATATTATCACAATTAAATTTCTTTCTTTTGATTTTCCTCTTTTTAAATATATAAATATGTAAAATATGTAATTTTCATGAAATTACAAACATCCTTTATTTGAGAAACGTCTATTCAAATTTATTTCTTTTACTTTTCATGGCTATTCAAGCCACAACCAATGCTAGTTCTATATATAAAAATTATTTTTCCTCGTTGCGTTTGTCACGTTTGTGATTATTTTATAATATTCCCTCTATCGTCGATTACATCAGATTCTTTTCTCAACGTTTTTCTTTAACGAAGCTTTCTGTTCACAATTTTATGGCACATCGAATTTACGATGTAGAAAAATCCTTTTCGTATATACCTTCTTTCCTATCATTCGCTTCGTTTCTCTATCAATTTATTTTTCTTCTTTTTTATTCCATTCGCGTTATTTCATCGACGTTGCATTCTGTGTAACCACTATCAAAAATTGTTCGTGTTAAATCTAGTTCTAGATTACTGCTTTCAAATAAAAATATATTGTTAATTAGAAAAAAAAAAGAAAGAAAGAAGTGAAAGTTCCTTTCAATTATTATTATTACTTAATGTTAAGAAAAATGGATTGAATCAAATAATTGAAATCTCAATCAAATAAAATATAATAATTAAAATAATATAAAATTCGTTACACTTAATTTTATTTTATTTATTAAACTATTTGTATATTTTACTATTAGTAGCACATTATTATTAATTTAAAATTTATTATTTATTTAATACGATACAAAAAAATACATACCTTTTTTTTTTATTATTGAATTGATATTTTCCTTTAATAAATTTCAATGTTCGATGTTAGAATCAATTCTCTGATTTAATCCATGGTCGATAAGAGATAAAAGTAATAAAATAAAGGAAAAAAGAATATTAGAGAATAGGTTATGAAATGATTCGATTAAAAGAAAGAATACAATACAAGCTATTTGTTTTAATAATCTTTTTCCAACGAGATTCCAACTGACATATTCCATTTTTATAAAATTCCATGGTTTAGTGAAGAAATTCTTCTAATATTACGATAGTTTTTCAACGAACAAGTGACAATCAGTTGGTGAAATATCTGACGAGTATAATGAATAGGTTAAGAATTCATATTTCGATTCAGCTAATTTTTATAAAATGATTTGCGATGTATGTAGTCAAGTTTGTCAAGAAGTTCAATGTCTATTGACTAATGCGGTTTGTTTCTTAATCAATTTCTGATTAAGTATAATTAAAATTATACTACTTTTACATTATATTATATTATATATTACTTTTCATTATAGGTTCATTATAGGTATTCTTATTTATTATTATAGTTTCGAATTTTGATGTGATAAATATACTTTTAAACGCTGCAACTTTTGATCCTTTATAGCATTTACTTTTCCAATTTTTTCATTTTACTTATTGTACCCAAATGTTTGAAAACTATCATTCGAAATACATTTAAATCTGTGGATGTTTGTTTGTGGTTTAACTTCCAAGTTCAATTTATCTTTGTTCAATATAGATTTCTATATTCTACTTCGA